ACTAGTATTGGCCAAAATGATGGCAACCCAAGAGGGAAAGTGAATTGGGTTTTCAAAAACCTTTTGCAATTTTCAACCAAAAAAAAAAAAAAAAAAACACACACACACACACACCAACACAATTTGATTGTCCAAGTGACATTGGATAGGAGGATAGGATGCATACCATTCTTTTGCTGACATAAGGCTCTATGTTAACCGGTATCTCAGGATCATTTACAACCTTGAGTAATTTCTGTTTCTCCTTCTCAAATTCTTTTCTAGACTCCTTTCGGCTACCTGATTGCCAAACCCTACCAAAGTTCGGAAGCCAGTTAGCATCATCAAATTCATTCTTCACAAATTCTCCTTTCTTCTCCTTTTCCAACTCCATCTTTCGCTTTTCAGCCCAGGCGGCCCCCACTCTCTGTGGGTTCAACTTCTGAGATTTCCCTGATTTATTTGGAGAATCAAAGTTTACAGAAACTGGTCTCACATGACCATCTAGAAGAGTTTCATCAGTTGTTTCGAACCAAGGAGGAGGTGCTCCAGTATGCACATTTCCTCCAGCCTGTTCTATGGTGATGGAAGCAACTTGAGTTATGGTCTGCAAACCTGAAGGGAAGAAAGAAATCCCAGGGGAAGAAAATAACATCATAAAATATCACCATTTGACACTTTCCACAGTGCTAATCAATGCTTTTCCACAAATTTACAGCAAAAGGTTACTAATACTTCAATTCTATGAGCCACACATTATTTAACAAACATGGCATCTAAATCATTAACCTGGAAAAAAAAAAAAAAAAAAAAAACTGAAAAAAAGAATCAAAGATATTTTTACCCTGGGTAGAAGTGTCCTCTCCATGCACTGTACTTCCATCCTGATATGGCTGGTATGCCTATATCAAATAAGTTATGGTTTTGAGAAGTACATAGCTACAAATTCATGCATAAAAAAACAACTTTTGTAGTTAAAATCCAAGAATGTTACTGAATTTTAAGCTAGAAAAAGAGAGACATAAACATCTGCAGAATGAGTGGTGTACATTTTACAGAAGTATTGAGTAGGAATTTAAACATCCACTTGAATTCTGGCACTGAGTAGATTAATTTATATTTAAAACAAGTTCATCAACAAACTGTTTAATGGCAAGTAAAATAGCCAAACAACATATGGGGAGAGTCCAATTGCCAATTGGGAGTTAGCACCCACTCAACCACAGCAATAAGAAGATAATCACGGGAAGGGTAAGGCTCAGCTTGAAAGGGGAAAACTGATTTGAAGACTAGACACAAGTATAACAGTCCAGATTGGAATTTCTATCATATTGACCTTGCACTTTAAAATCTATGAGCAGTTATGAAGCCTACCAGTACTGGGATTTATACTAGCATCACAAAGAAACTTACCCCTCCATAACTAAGAAAATTATTGCCTGAACATATTCCACCATTGTAAAAGAGACACTGTTGACTGGTGCCATTACCTGGGAAGTTCAAGCACAAAGCAGATAAGGGATGGCAGAAAGTCTTACCATTTCACTAGAGAAACCCCACATAAAATGCAAAATAACTAGCACTACGTTTTAAAGAAAAAAACCTCAAAAAGTAAATGATATCTACCTCTCAATTCATTTGAATCGCTTAAACTCAAATCAGAATATGTGTCAAGAGCTGAACAAACTGTAACACCATGATGGTTTGTACCAATATTTGCAACTCCATTAACTCCTGAATGGGATATCTGATACTCATATGTATGATACTGTAAAGGGTTAACAGGATTTAAATGATTTGATTGAAGATGGTTAACAGTATTTTGATCAATATTAGTTATGTTTTCATTGTTGAGTCTACGGTGGATATCATTTGAAGATCCATATGGCACTTCAGAAGATCCTTTACTAGCATCCACAGCTTCTGTCTTCAATGATTTGCAGTTCTTCTCCCACTAGAAAGACAATAATCAAATTCTGTTATCCAATTATGGTTGAAATTCAGTTTCCTCAAATTTGTGGTTTTAGTTCTCTCCTCTTTATTAAATTTGTCTGAAATTAAGACCATAAATTCTAACAAAAACTAAACAGCAATTAATTCTGAAAATGGATGAAACAAAAGATACTGTAACCATACCTTAGCTATATCAGCATCCAGAACTCTGAAAGCATCCAAACAATCCATCCCACCACCATATTGCCACAGAAAATGCTTTAAATTCTTCAAATGACGTGCACTCGCCAGATGATTAATTGCATTTTCACTAATCAAAGAAGCCAAAGTATGAATTGAAAAAACTATTCAAACTTATCACCAGGACCATATTCCATATTCATTGCCCTGATTTGGTCACAGACACGAGGGAAAAGCACAGGGATTTGTTTAATCTCATAAATTTCACTCACCAACCCGACACATAGATTGAAGTCCAAAAATTAAAAATAAAAATAAAAAGAGAAACATAACACAGATTAATGTAGCTGAGCATCACATAAAATCTTAATTCTCTTATTCTTCTAAAAATGTAAAATATGACATCCAACTAAAATTACAACCTCACCAAAATAAACAACAATCTACATAATCTAACATTCAATTGTTTTAGCTACAGAGATCTGCAACTATTCCAAAGATATCGAAATTGATCTTGATTTATTTTTACTCTGCTTTCTCAGCACCAACCTACAAGCTCAAATCAAGCTAGAATTTCGAAAATTAAAAAGAAAGGAAGTAAAGATAGAATCCTTACCAGGAAAAGGAGCTATCGAGCTCGTCAACATCGGCATCGCAGAAGACGCACCAAAATCGATTGCGAGGGGCGTGTTCGTGGCGAAGAATGGTAGGGTTTTTCATGAAGAACAGAACATCATCGATTTTAGTCTTGAATCGAGAGAGAAAAGCGGAAAGCGAGCTCTTATGCTTGGGGAAGTACTTGTGGCGCAGCCCCTGGTCGTGGTTCAGTCTGCACACCTTGCAAAACACGAACTCGCTCTTCTTCTTCTCCGAACCTCTATTGTTGCCCTGTTTCCCGAAGTTCGATTTAGGGTTAGGGTTTGATCGCCTGGTATGTGAATCATCCTCCATTGATGGACTTGGTCCGAAGATTGGAGGACGGATTTCATCTGAGAAGAAAAAACGAAACAAATTCCAAAACGCAGCGCTTCTTGTGTATTTCAGTATAATAAAACGCACCGCATTTTATAACCTTCACGGAAACGCACCGTGTTCGGTAGCCTGGTCTGTTAGTGAGTCATTCTTCTTTTTCCCATTTTTTTCCCCTGAATTAACCGCAATTATTTTTTATTTATTCTCAACAATAAAGAATCCAATTCTTTTGTTCTTAGTTAGGGCATTTGGTATAGCGGTTAGAAGTAACGGTTAGTAATTTTGTCTATTAAGGGATGAATTTGCACTACTTTAAAATTGATGACATGTATGGCTCCACATCAGCAAGGACACACGTGATTTGTTCTTCTACCATCAACCATGTTATTTTCCACTGATAATTGGAAGGAAGTCAACTTCGCCAGAAGCGATACTTAGCGTCATTCTCTCATGCATTGCCAAGAACAACATTTGTCTGCTTTGTTGGAAATCGTGTAGATACATCTTGTCTTAACGACATTTTCCTATACATGGCTAGACATGGCTATGCTATCCTCGCAATATGGCTAGACACTTTTGACAACCATGAATTTTACTGCTATGCTCACCGCCACAATTGGCTCCCAACAATGGATAAAGAGCCTATCTTACTATAAACACATGGCTAAACACTTCTCAACAGTCATGGTCTCCTGCAGCGATGCTCATCGCTAGACCTTTTGGCTCCTAGCAATGGATAAAAGGCCTACTTCGCTACATATACATGGCTCCCATCAATGGACAATGGGCTACATTCACATAGTTCCCAGTGATTAACAATGGGCAAGATTTACTATCTCATTTAGCCTCTAGTAATGGGCAAAAGGCTACCCACCTCTACATAGCATATCTCACTAGCTCCCAGAAATAGACAAAAAGTTAGTGCAACTTGGTACGATTAGCGTGAGGCTAAAAACAGTTGCAACCTTGTGATAAGAAAGGATGGCTACCCTCCAGTGATAAAAATCCATCAAGTAACGGTCGACGGTCTCTTGGTGGTCACCCGTGCATGGTAGTGCAGTGCCCAGCGTGTAGCAACAACCAAGACCACCCTCTGACAGTGTGGGTAGGGTAAGAAGGGCCAACATTTGTGAGTGGTATCACACCTTATCGTATTGGAGGCCATGGATGTGACTAGTGCTCCTCCATTCATGGAGATATCTTCATCACATCTCCATCGCTATGGTGGAATCTAGCTTGATGAGATTTACCCTTCCGCGACTTAGCTATTAATGAGAATGCTTTTTCGATTTCACATAGTTTACACTCTAGCCATGAATAAAGTTAGCCACTGTTGTTTCTCTAGCTATGGGAAAGCTATTCATGGCTAACCTTGTGATACTTATATAACATGGTCGATTGTCATGCACATCATCGTTCTTCTATACAAAGGGACAAAATTACCAATCGTCGATAATCCTAACTCGTCACATACTTCTATATTTCATGTGTTAGTAGGTATCATTGACCAACAGTACTTGACTCGAAACAATGATATCACAACACACATCCATATTGCTCATTCTCTCTATATTGGCGTAATGCCAACCATGTACAGTCACAGTGTATAAATACCCACCGTGGTCATGGGACAAAAAGAGTACAGCAATGATTATCTTCATCATCTCCTTCAATGCATAAGGGAGTATCTTTCTTCGCTGCACACATTTATGCATTTTACACTTGAACATCCAAACGAGTGCTTATCAATAGTACATCTTCACTACAGGTAGGCACAAACTCATGAATCCAAGCTCATGGGAAATATTTGGGATAAACCTTGGGAGCAGTGGCTTGGTAGGCATGGATGGGTGGGCATTGCCCATCTGGGGATGCGAGGTAGTCGTGCTAGCAAAGCTTGGCGCTAGTGATATTGCCCAACTTCGCTAGGAAAGGCTGGGTGGCAAAGACGTGAGAATGAACTTGATTCTTGAAACAATACCTTTTGATGCTAACCAAGAACTTGAAATCCCATGGAAAATCAACCATAAGATGCTATTTTAGTCTCCATCAACCGTCAACCACCATATTCAATGCAAAGGCGTCTGTACAAATTACGATTGTGTTGGAAAAGGTTGGGAAAGATTACTGTTGCTTAAGGATCTTCCAATAATCTTACACAGACCTTGGGAACTTTACCAAAATCTTGCGTAGATGTTGTTCTGCCGGCTACACTCAAGTAGTTTAAAGAAGCAATTGCTTCAATCTCAAAGCGCTTTGTTCACTCTAGTGTCACTTTCTCTAAGTGTTTTAAAAATTTTGGAAACGATGATGCTTCTAATCGCTTCAATTCATCACTTTAAGTAGTGAAGCTACTTGTCATATCCCAAAATTTTCTAAAATTTTAGAATTTAAGTTAGAGACATATATGGGAGAAATTATTATTTTTGGGTCTAATAGCTAAAATACACAAACCTAAGAAGGGTTAAAAGTGAAATTTGGTGATAAAAGGGGCTAAGGTTGATTTTCCTTTCTCTCCTTGCCCATTTCTGCGTGTTTCCTCCTGCCCTCACCAGAATTTTTCCTCCACAAGCCCAACTTATGGCCAGCAAAAATTAGGTGAGATTTAGTTCTTCTTCTTCCTCCCAAGTTCAATTTAGAGATTAATAAGCTTATGGTATTCAAAATGATGATCAAAACCCAAATCTTGCTATTAATATTCTCCAATTTCCTAGTCCATGTCAAGTTCTTCAGTATTGTAAAGGGAGGCCATTACTTCCAGCATTTTCTAATTTTTTAGTAAGAAATTAGCCATATTGCTCAACTTTTCATCTTTAATTTGAATTGGGTTAACTATAATCTTTTAGGGTTTTCAATTTGGGATTTTTTTGTACTTCCACCTTGATTTTGCCCATAATCTAGCACCACCAAAATCTGATTCTTTTGTTTGTTGGAAATTCTAACAACATGACATTGCAGTAGTGTTTTGCCCATAACTTTTTTTGTAGCTATTGGATTGAGTTCATTTTTGATTCTCTGTAAGGTTAAGATATAGCCTTACAATTTTTATGTTGGACATTTAACCAGTTAAGCTATTTTCAAGGTAAAAACTCTCCTACAATTTCAATTCCTACAGACGGACGGAACTAGCAGCCCAACCTTATATTAATGTTGACCATAACTTTTTCTATAGAGGTCGGATTAAGGTGATTCTTAATCCTATAGAACACTTAGACATATGGCTACAATTTATATGTTAACCATTTAGCCTTTCAGCTTAAATTGTCAATTTCTAGGTGCAAATTTTGTTGGAACTTCTGGTTTAGAATTTGACCAGAACTTGCCCAGAAATTTGCTCTGTCTTCTATTTTATTCCCACATTATTTGTTGCTACATTGCATCATGGTTTTACTAGACTTTTAACTGTTGTTTTCTTACTTTAAAACCCCTTGTTATTGCTTTGTCTTGGTTGCCTTTTTGCTGTTGTATTTCTCCTTAAATGCTATCCATTTCTACCTAGTTTTGGCTTGTATTCTACCTTATTTTGCTGTTGTCTCTTGCCCAAAAATCCCTACTGTTTTGCCTAAAAAATCCCTGTTGTTTAAGGCTTTTTCCAAGCAATTTGGGATTGCCTTAAATGGCAGAAACCCCCACTTTGCTACCCAATATTTTTGCTGGTGTCTAGGATAGTTTTGACCTCAATTTCTCACATTTTTTCCATCTTATTTTGCCCAGAAAATCTATTTGGAATACCTATTGTTTAGTGTGACATTTGGAGCTATTTTAAGCTTATCCTAAGTATTCATTTGATGTGGTATAAGTTCTAAATCACCTCAACAACCTTGAGTTCTTGAATTGTTTGCTAGTTGTCTACTTAAAAGGCAAGGTAAGTAAAACTATGGTAAAAGCCTTTGGATTTTAAGGTAAATGTTTTAAAAGCATATTTTGCATTGTTTTTGAGATGATGGCAAGACCTAAACAGATTTTTATTAACACCTGAGCATAAATGAAGTTGTTATTATTTTTATTGAGTTGAGCATGCCTCCATGGAGTTTACTTGTATGTTTTGGAAATTTGAAATTGGTTTATAAGTCATGATTATCTTGTTAACTCCTGCATATGTGTAGATCTTGAATTTTTCTGTTGAACTCTTACATGGTTTTGTCTTCAATATGGGTATGATCCTTGAAGCTCGCTAGTGAGAGCTATAAATGTTGGCACATGTCAACATGTATTCCTAGAAACCAGTTTATTCTTGTTATTTTTACCAATGGGATAGTACATTGGTTATTCCTGATGCCTACCAATGGGAGTTTGTTAAACACTGGCCATGATTAATTGAGGAGACCACTATTGAGTTTTACTCAGCATTAATGGTTATATTTGAGATTTTCCTACGATTTATGTTTTAAATTGTTTATCTGGCAAGCTTTAACTTTAAATTAGGGTTACCCATATTTTTACTTATTGAGTTATCTTACATAGTTTTTCCTCGTCTACCATTTCAAGAAGTGAGACCAAAGACATGGGAAACCAAGGGGAGTGACAAGCTAGAAGGTTAGCCACTTGTATTTTGGATATAGATTATTTTGGAGTTAGGCTACTAGTCAAATTACTTTTGGATATAGAGTTGTATAAATTTGCGTGCACTCCTAGCCTAGTAAAACTTGGATTATAAAAGCCAAATTTTTTTTTGAGATTTGGATCTTAGTTAGTGGATTGCCATATATGAATTAAGTAGGTTCTGAGCCATGTGCATTTATGGGATCCTCTCACAAGTGGACGGTGTCTGTTTCGCTCTCGGTTTTGGGGTGTGACACTACCGCTTTTGATAACACTAGCCACAACACCAGCATGATAGTGCTAGTTCATGTGTGCATGCTCACCATCAGGCATAAGTGTGCATAGCTCACCACCACACCCATTTTATGGCTCACACACTACCACACATGCCTGTTCAATCCCCATGCACACAATTACATACTGGTTGTGGTAGGTAGGCTTTAGTGTTTGTGCTTGTTACAATTACATTGCTTTGCTTACATGTCAAGCACATATTCATAATGCTACTTATGCTACCATGGGAAAGATAACACACTATGCTATGCACACAACAATATTGCTCTATGCATAAGCACACACAATTAGCCCTATACTCACCCATAACTTTAGACAAAAAAACCTTAAATGTTTTAAGTCAAACCCTAAATTTCTTACAACAAATTCAATTCTTCAAGAAACATGTTAGTCACAATTTCAATTTAATCTGAAAGAATTAAAGAATTATTAAGTAATACCACAATTTGCTATGATACCATTGTTAGGTTTAAGAAGAGGCAACGAAATCAAAAATGAAAATTTTCCTCCTTCAACCCAGCTATGATCTTTATGAATCTAATGATAGTTAAAGAAGGATAACATACTATCCCATTTGGTTTCATATATACCTGGTTAGAATATTTTCAGTCTCAACTACTACTGTTACAAACCCTTTCGGAAAACTATTTTGGTGAATTATTAAAACTTAAAATTTGAAATTATTTTTGTGTGTTTGGATGCGGTGAAGCTTGGAAAGAAAGAGGAGAGGCTCTACTAAGCACAACAAAGCTAGCTGAGCCCTATTACAACACTTATGCACCTAATGTACCTAGAGATGTACTAGTGTGCTAGCATAAGCACCAGGCCTATAACTATGTTAGGCCATGGTTAGTTGGGTTGGGCCCATGCACACTAGTGCATTGCATGCCACCACATGCAAAGCAATATAATGCTCACTAGGGCGATGTTGTGCTAATTGTGACTTATAAGTGCCCAACACGTATGCTACACAATGACATGAGCTATACTAACCCCCTAGCATGAGCCACATTGTGCATGTCACACAATTATGCCATAACACAATCTATGATATGAAGTATGCCACAACATAAAGGTATTTTGGTAATTCTACTGCTTGATTTTTGAACATTGGTTTATATGTATTTTTTTGTTTTTGGTGATGTGAGTTAAGTACAATTATAATTTTGGTTTTGGTTTAAAACCAAGGTTTTAAATAATGTTTTGAACTATTTTTAAGATTATGGTGGGACTAAACTCATTTTTGATGATTAGCATGACATGACTATGATTTTAGGTAGTTATTTTACATTTATTAAATATAATCATACCTTTTTATACTCAATCTAATACTTAATTTGATTGAGATGCCATCTTATTTGATATCATGTTATATGGCTAGTTTTAAAGGAGATAAGTTTAATTCTTCTTACACTATTTTGTTTTTGATATGGTGATGATTTCTATGCCCACTAGTAGGAGATTTTATAATTCCAGCTAGCTACCTAAGAAGGGATGAATTGGGTCCTAACAATATCTCTAAAAACATGTATTATATTTGGAAAATGATTAGTATACTCTCTAGTTCAACACACCCGCCAACACCCATTGGTTTAGTTTTTAAAATTTGTAGTTTTAAGTTATCTCGCCTTTAATTCAAATTTGAAAATAATAATTTCTTAATGAATGTGTTGTAAAGTGTGTTGAACTAGAGGGTATATCAATCATTGTCTATTCTTTTCTTTAAACTTGTGTCAAATTTTGATTTAGATTAAGTCTAAAATTTGCTATAAGCATAGTTATGAATAAGAAAGAAAGTGATTGTAAACTTGCAAATAAAATGCAAAAAATAAAGAGAGGAAAAAAATATCAAGCTATGATTTATGATAGTTCCTCCAACCAGAAGTATATCCATTCCCCAAGCCTCCTTGTTTAAGAGTTTCAACCATTGATCCTTTTGCTTTCGGATGAAAGATTAAACTAGTACAAACTCTTAATTCCAAGCACAGGATTAAACCCTTAGAAATGAATCTCAAGAATGAACTCAACCCCTTGAAGGGTTATCTCAATCAAAGAAGAATACAAAGCGTTGTGAAGAATGGTTACCCAAAGATCTCACAAATATTTTGGGTAAATAATTTTGGCTCACAAGGTTTTTAGCCATAGAATGACTACAACTTCTTAAGATTTCAAATGGAGTAGCTCAAGAGTCAAATTTTGTTTTTTCTTTTTCTTTTGTTTTCAAATTTGAAACAATAGTTACCACTGGTGGATAAATGTCTCACAACTAAGTTCTCTTTTAGGTCTTTAATGCCTTCTTAAATGTTGCTCCAATTAAATTCTATGCTTTTCAACTTTTCATAAAAAGTTTTAAATTCTTTATTTTGAGAAAGAGCACACTTGATTAAGTTTCTTGCCTATTAAAATAATATCATTTGCTGAGATGTTAAAACTGTCACTTCTAACTCTTTGGTTCAAAAACCCAGAAGTATTGATTCAAACAACTTTCAAAAAACTCTAAATTTTGTTGGACATTCTATGGGATTGATTCAAATCAATTTATATTTATTTGAATCCAGAACTTTAAACAAGGAAAACATGAATTTTGAAGCTACAACTCTAGTTATAGAAAATGATTAAAATTCTTCAATTAACTTAGATACACACTTAGCATAAGACATATTGAACTCCTATCATGATTTTAAGTTTTTGTCAAAATACAAAGAGGAACCTAACACATTGTAAATGATAGCCATGTTGACATGTATTTCTACTTAACCTAGTCATTCTAATATTTTTTGTATCCTACTAATAGGAATATAAACATTTTAATATTTTGTGCCTACTAGTGAAAGGTTTTAAATGTTTGTCATGATCTTTAGAGGAGAATACTTACTATTTTTTTTTTTTGCGTATGGCATTCTGAACTCCTTTGTTTATTTTTCGAGACCTTTGTTTTTGTGAAAATTTGTTGGTATGCTTTATTAAAACAAAAGAACTACATATTCTACTTGATGAGTTTATCTCACATTGTTTTTTCTATCCACTATTTAAGGTAATGAGAACAAAGATGTTAGAGATTAAGGAGAATGGCGTACTAGATGACTAGTATATTTATTGTCAAGATTAATGTTAGTTTACAAATTTATACTTGGCTTGCTAGATGATTTAGATATTATTGGATTTATTTATGCTTAGGTTGTTTTAGATTTGATTCTTAGTTAATAGATTATACTTTGATATTATTATACATAAGTTTAGTTGAATTTATATTTATTTATGGCTTTGCATAATGTAGTAAAAAGATGTTGTGCCATCTGCATTTGTCAGTGTAATTCACAAGTGTATAGCATTTGTTCCATTCTCGGTTTGGGGCCTGGCACTCATACTAAAAAATTTAACCATGTGCAATTAAATCTCTATAATGGATAATATAATTAACAAAATTCAAAGTAGACATCTTATATATAAGCTTTTGAATAAACCATTAGAAAATGAACATTATACATAATAGTCCACACTAATATGTGAAATGAAACAAAAAAAAAAAAAGTTTTAGCACATCGTTTATTTAGAAAAATTAGTAAATTAGAATCGATGAAGAAATTTCCTCCATCCATTATAAAATATTTTGTTAACTCGCATGGCAAATTGATGAATTAACCAATCAAGCATTGATAGATGTTACAGAGCTTCCACAAGCTTTTGGTTTCTGTTTGCCTAAAAGTGAAGGACGAACGTTGGAACATTGGGATATGGCAGGCCCTTCACTTCCGTTGTATTTAAGGTCAATGTCACTGAGTTCCACGTTGTCACACTGAAGACTTTTGCTACAAACGAGTTTCACTGCAACTTGAGTTGAAGTAGTTCCCCAAATATTCTTAAAGCTCACTTTACTGATCTTAACTCGTGAAGGAAGCTGAAAATCAAAAAATTTTCTCATTAATTATGGTTACTTAATAATAAAAAAAATTCAGTTTTTTTTTTTTTTTTTTGTGTTGCATGGTGATAGACTTTCTTTATTTTTTACCAACCCACATGCATGTCATGCAAGCAAAACCTTTTTTATTTGAAGGAAATTATTACTGAATTACTTATGTTATTAGAAAAAAAATAATTCATAGCTTACCTGTAGGTTACATTGATTCCACGGGCAGTATTCTTGATCAATTAAGATAGGATTTCCAACATTTTGCATAAAAATATCCTCAAAATGCAAATCAGTGACAGAACCTTGTTTAGAAGCTGGCCAAGTCTTGATCCTCACACCATTTTGTGTATTTGTTAGGGTGCAATTTTTAACAAAGACCCCTTCAACTGGTTCTTCATTTTCATATTTCCCAAGGCTACCAATGCTAATTCCATGGCCTGGTCCACAAGTCACATTAGTGACATGCACATTTCGACTGCCATCCCCAAGAGAGATGCAATCATCACCAGTTGCAATGCTGGAATTGGTGATGTTGATCCCGGTGGATCGTCCGATGTGGATTCCATCGGTGTTTAGGCTGTTCTCTGGTGCAATGACTTTAAAGCGTTGGAAGGTAAAGTTATTGCATCCTAGAACATTAACTTGAAATTGTTTGCTGTCCTTGGAAGTTATGTCTTGGACCATGGCATTGGTAATGAAATTGAACCTTAAATTCTTTTTTTTCATTACACAAAATAGCATTAGTGAAATAAAACATCCATTTAATATATTGAAATAAATTATCCAAGGCATGTATAGAAGCTTACAATGGGAAGCGAGGAGCAAAATGAATTTTTGTTGCAGTTTTTACCCCAAACATTGGTTCCTTGGCCATCAAAGACGCCACCACCGGACAAGGTAAGGTGGTCAATGTTGCTGAAAGTTACCCAACTAGGTTCTTTAAATATCCCAAGGTCAATTGGGGCTTTAATTGTGCCTTGGACATGGATCTCTACAGGGGCCTTGCAAGGGCCTTCTAATAATATAGGATTTAATAGGTATGTCCCTGGAGGAATTACAACTTTACTTGAACTTGTAAATGCACATGCTTCTTTCCAAGCACTTAGGAGAGCCTAAAAAAAGAAAAAAAAAAAAAGAATATAATAAATTTAGATTTGTTTTGAGTTTGACTTAATATTATAGTTTGATTAAATTAAGAATTTTCCCTCTTATCAATTTCCTCAAACTAAACACCTTCAAAAGCAAGGAACAAAAAAAACTTTTACTTCATTACCTGACTAAAATCTGTATTTTGATTAGCCTTTGCACCATATTTTGTAACATCAAAAATACTTGATTGAGCATGAATAGTAAATTTGAAGAGTAATAGCGATAATAGAACTACAAAAGTTAAGCGCAAACGCATCATTGTTTTTTTTGTTTTTTTTTTTTTTATTTTCTTTGAAATGATAGTGAAAATTTGTCTTTGAATGAAGCAATTTATAGAATTTTGGAGAAACTCAAACCACCAAAACTTAACAAACGGTTAGCCAATTTTTTTTATTTTTAGTATGTTACATGTTTAGTGAGAGTGGATTGTGTCCTATTTTTAGCTTTTTAACTAAATTAAACATGTCCTATTATGAGTGGTCAAAATTGAGTTTTCTCCTTTTTTTACGTTATTTTTAAAAACTTTTTAAATGAAAGTAATCTCATTACTGTTTATAAGTTGAAAATTATAATAGTTCGTATAAAATTATATTTTTATATCAAAAAATAAGTGCACTCAGCCATTAATTGTTGGAGTTCTTGGTACCACTCTCATTATTTAAATGAACAAGAAGGCTAGCAGTAACTTGAATAAGGGCCTGATATGTGAAGGCACTATTTCAATCTAAAAGACTGGTTTATTTGATTAATGGGTCTCACATAAATAAATCACTTACTTTCACTCTATATTTCTCAATATAATATTCTATACTTACTCATGTGAGTACTCTACAATCTCCTTTATCACTTGTGAGTCTAACATCTCTTGTTAGTGTACCTTCCTTTGGTAAAAACTTCTAGGAGTGGAGACTTTGAGGATGACTTCTTGGGTGGGCAAGGGATATCTATGAACTCACTTCAAGATCTATAGACAACTTCATTGTGAGAATAACACCATTCTTTGTCAAGTTTATGTACCACGTTCCTCACTTGTGAGTCTTCAACATCTCCTGTTAGTGCACTTTAATTTCCCTCAAGTGGAAGATATAGCCTTGAGTGGATAGGGAAGGGAAATCCAGGCAATCACTTCAAGATTTACACATATATCCTGTGAGAGTAACATCATTGATTTTCTTAGATATATACACCAACTTTAGGTAGAAAAATCCTTACATCTCAATTCTTGATATCCACTCTACCAAGTGCACTTTTTTGAGATTTACACTTTTCTCCACTCTGATTAATTGGAGGATTTTTCACTTCTCAACACTCAAGAAAAGTGGGAACCCCACTTCACACAATCACAAGTCAGGTCTATAAGCACTTTTATTTGAATCTTCAACTTTATGACACCCCTAAGCAAATCCCACATTGACAAAGCATGGAAAAAATGCTAAGTATAAAAGTCAACACTTGTTAACCCTTATTAACATGTTCTAAACTATGAAACTCGATGGGTCTAATTGGACAATAACAATAATAGACTAGGTTGTTACACATGGTATTAGAGCCACTTTGCATGATCTCTTGAATAATGGTAAAGCAAACCTAAATGAGGATCTCAAGTCCCAAAATGAGAGGTGTATGTAAAACCAATAGGTAAATCCCACATCGATAAAGCACTACATGAGAAATGTTAAATATATATAGATCAACACCTACTAATCTCTGATGACGCATTTTAAAACCAAGTGGCCTAATGGGTCGAATAATTGTTGGGTAAGACACTGAGGTTGATAGAACAATCTAATTAAGGCTCTATAAGGCTCTATATAGGAAGACATACATCACCTTAAACCTAAAAGTCTACACTATTAGAGGCTCATTATATATACCGCTTGCTTTCACTCTATGTTTCTTAAATGTATACATTTCTTTATGTTTTCCTTTTATATCTTTCTTTTTTGTTCCATAATACCTTAAATTAAATTACCTTAGTTCCATAACTATGAAAGGATATATCAATCAAGCAAACGAACTGCAATAGCATACTTAAAGATCCCTATGCAATAACTCAATTAAGTTCTAGAGATAAGCAAATGTTAAAGAATTCAAATAAGCAAAAAAATATGAAGAAAACTAACAAAATATGGCATATAGGTCAACACACAGAGAATTAAAGTAAATAAACCAAAGGTGCTCAAGTTCGTAATATATCTATAATCCATGAGAGTGTTTGACCAAACTTAAAAAGCACTTTAAAAACAAACTCTTCTCTTATAAATCTAAAATTTTGTTTAAGAAAAACTCAAAAATTAGAATTCAAAGTAACTTTTAAGCAAGTTTTGAGAAAGTCTGGATGCATAATTTTCTAAAACTTAAAAGTCACTCTAAAAATTAATTTTTGATTTTTCCTCCAATAAATTTTGAAATTTGTGAGAGAATTTGCTTTTAGGAATGCTTTCTAAGCTTTGCCAATCAACCTTCAGGTAGAAACGATAAAATAGAACATATATACATAATCATCTCATCTACCAAACATCTGGTTTATACAACCCTATTAGAATTATAAAGCCATTAAACTTTGTAAAGTGTAGAGCTCTAATATATTGATGAGTTCATACTAATTTTGCTCTATATGATTGTAGCAAAATACACTTTGTCAAGTGATTTGAAACAATAAATTATTTTACTACAATTTATTTGAAAAAATATTTATCAACACAATATGTGAAAAAAAATTAGGTGCAAAAACTTAAAACTATATCATTTTAATAATACGCTATAAGAAAAGACTTAAATATGTCAAATCCATTCTCAAGTGTAAAAGACAGTCATATATTAAGAATTTAGTATTAATTTATATAAAAAAAATATAAAATTTGACATAAATTTCAGTATCATTGTCTCTTAGGAGAATTAGGCTTCCTCATTTCATAATGCTTCAAACAAAAAATTTCCAAACAGCTTATCTAAAAATAGAAATTTGTAATTCTTAATTAATTTTTTATATACACTACTAGAGAAAAAGGAGTTAGCATTGTGGATACACGTAGATGGAAAGCCTGTTTCATGTGGAAAAAAACGCCTTGCATCTTGTTGCATCTCATTAATCGAAACACCAACATGACCCAATTTACATGGGTGAATCCCAAAGAATCATCAATATGACCTATGTAGAAACATATTGCATCTTAGATTATAATCGAAATCATGGCCTTTATACACCATCACAACTCACATCCGTGATTCGATATATTCATCAATGTGGTATATAATGGAATTTTACAAAAAAAATAATAATTATTATTATTTATCCATAAATTATTGACATGGCTTTGTTGTCATGTTTATCAACAATGTGTACTACATTTGTGTGTTTATAAACTTTTTTTTATACTTTTATAAATCACATACATAGGTTACGTTGCAATGTTTATCAATGACATAACATAAATCATTGTCTATAAAAAAAAAAAAGAAAAAGACTTAAATTGACATCAATCATCAACATGGAACATATTGTTATTTGAATATAAATGACAAAAAGAACATTGAAATATAGTTGAAATTAAATTCTAATTACATTTAATCCTTGAAAACACATAACTACTGATCAACAATTCTTATAAAATTTATGCAAATATACAATAATTCAACACATTTTATCAATATCTTAAAAACATATTACTACAAATTTTTGTTCTTCAAAAAATACAACTTTAATAATCAATTTCAAAAAATATACTAAAAATTAAAATTGAATGTAAGATGATGCATGTGAGAAATTACACTTACCATGACAACTCATTTGAAGTTTTTTAACACATAAAATAATTATCAAATTATTTGTAAATGAAAGAGAGAAAGGAAACTAAATAATAATATAGATAAAAAAAAATTGAAAAGATTCATACCTCATTAAAATGATATGTTTAGGGAATCCACCTACAAAATTACATATTTAAATGAGTTAGTTTATGAAAATATCAAAATATTTTATATTTTCCATTAGATTAAAAAATAATGAATATATCTATAATTTTAAAGGAACATGCTATTAAATACCAAAGAAAAAAAGGAAAAAATCCAGAAATAAGTAGGCCATTCTTTTAACAAGGAGAAATTATAATAAAAAAATTATAAAAAAGCTATAATTACTATTTTTAATACTTAAATGATATATTATTTACTAAAACCTAATGTGATTAAAATGAAATGGCAAGTTAAACGAGTGGGAAGGAAAGAGGAGGAGAATGAGGGGAAAGAAAAAGAAAGAAAAAAATGAGAAGTCCACTAGTATTGGCCAAAATGATGGCAACCCAAGAGGGAAAGTGAATTGGGTTTTCAAAAACCTTTTGCAATTTTCAACCAAAAAAAAAAAAAAAAACCTATGAACACTCAAAAGCAACTGCAAACAAATAATTTAAAGTGTAGATTCAATCATAACTTAGTTCACTTCTCAAGCCACTTGCTTGAGAGTTTGATTTAGATTCAAAAGCTCTTCTCCAACTTTCGCCTGTAAAGACAACCGTTTGTGATAACTTTATTGATGATATTCACCATTAACAATTTAACCCCTTGTTACAATCCCTTACAAGCCCAAACCTATACCACAAGAATGGTTTTTCTATATCAAACAAACACTCTCCCAATAGCTTAGAGATGCTATTGAACTATTCAATCCTCTTGTTACAAGTCCTTCAACCATTCCTATACCTTAGGGGCAAATTTCTAGATATAACAAGGTTTCCTCAATCCTTCTCTCCCTTGTTACATTAAAACAAAGTAAGGATGACTAAGAATTTAATTAGTTTGTTTTACAAAGGAAGATGATAACAGCTCTTGATCTTCTCTTATTCTCATGTTGGGGGCTTTAGGGTTTGCATTTTGCATGCCTCCAAATATCTTTTATCCCTCAAGCTTGCTCAATCAATGGTTTATGACCATTGCAGCCTAATTGGAAAGAGTAGCCTCTAATTTTGGAAAGTTCATTTGAAGTTCGACATCGAAGGGTTGGAACTTGTAGTCAGGGATGGACCCTTTTGTGTGTTCTCTATAGCTCAGCCAAACTCATGATTTTGCACCATAACATGAAGGGTTGGAACTGGAAACTAGATAAAAAGAAATTAAAATGAGTCAAATGCATTAAAGGTTCTAGTACCTAGTTTCAGGGGTTGGAATATCTTGTGAAATTAGCATAATTAAAAGCATATTTTAATTTTTTTTTACCAACATAGCTTCACATATAAAAGAAAATATATTCAAAAAAATTGATTTGAAATTAAAGAGGAGGACATTCAATTGAAATAAAGAAAACAAATTAAATCAAGATTGTTGAAATTAAGAATATTCACATTTGGTTTGAACCCATTAAAATCAAGAATAATAACTAGCTAGTGCAAAACATACCGTGTCAATCACCAACGCATCCCATGTTGATGAATGGCCATCACTAAAATAAATTCTAAAAATTCAAATAACTTTTGGTGACATCATATTCACCAATGTGGCTTACATTGCTAACTAATGAATATTGGCAGTTGAAATAGTTCAAATATTTTTGGGCAAATCATCAATGTGGAATGCATTGCTATACAGAGGAAAATTGGCAGCATAATTATTTTAAATATTTTTAGTGACATCACTAACTTGCCTTGCATTACTATATTGTCAATATTTTCATCTATGCTACATTGTTTTTAGTTTTCACTTACATGGCTTCCATTGCTAAATAATGACAATTGGTAACCGAAATATTTTCAAATATTTTTGAACAAATCATTGACATGGCTTGTATTCTATGTTGTTTATAGTTTTCACCCACGCTATTTCCAATGCTAACTGATGGAAATTGCGATCAAAATAATTTCAATTATTTTTGGACAAATCACCAACGTGGAATGCACTACTACTTAGATAGAATTGGCTGCATAAATATTTTGAATATTTTCAATGCAATCATTGATGTGGCTCGCACTGCTGCATGGATGAAAATAAGCATTAGAAATATTTTCAAATTTTCCATTGCCAAAACAATACTAATGTATACAACGTTAGTGTTTATAATTTTCACAGTTTGAGTTGAAAACTGCTTTTAATTTCGAAAAAATATTCCATCACATACTACGTCAATGTTTAACTTTCACCCTTGTTGGTAATTATGTAAGTTATAGTGATACTTTTATTAATTTTAATTAATATTTTATATATTTAGGGATAATAAAAATATTTAAAAAAAAAAAAAAAAAAACCCTACAACTACAACCATGCACATGAGGCTTAATGAAATAATTGATAAAATTAATAAATATTTTTCTAACAGGAGTCTTTACCATTGTCATAACCCAATTTTAACCAAGAACCGAATAATAAAATTGGAAGCCAATGAACTATTCTACAAAAGCAATGAAACATGAAGGTAGAAAGGAGAAATTACTTAAATGACGTCATCTTGCAATTTTGCTGAATTAAAGGGCCAAGATCCAAATGAACCCTAACTATCCACGTTTCTTTTGTTCTGCAACTCACGATCCCCTTTGCTTTTCTTTGCTTTGCTGACAGCCAATCTCTAAAAATTAAACTTGTTAATACAATACCAGTATATGTACTGGTTTTGTTATTGGAATGATATGTATTGGACACCAGAATTTTTTACGTACTATTTCAGATTTATCGCTATAAATATATACTTTTATAAATTATATTCTTGTAAGTTGAAAATAAGTTTAAAATAACCAATGTTATAAAATATTCAGAATTTTTTTTTTTGAACATTAAATATGTATATTTAGACAAACTTAACTGAATAACTGATAAAAAAAATAAACAAAAAAATACATTTTTCATAGTTAATGGACTAAAAAAATATATAAAAAAACTTAAAGAATGAAAATTACATAAAACTTTAAAAGTAAGGACCAAAAATAAACTCTACCTTTTCAAATTTGAATTGCTTTTGTACCGGCACATTTTTCAAATTTGAATTGACTTTGTACTGACACATTTTCCAATTGAGCAATACTAGAGGCACTCACCAATTGCCCTCTCCAACCAACACTTCCATTTTCATTGGGCCATGTTATTTTGGTTGAAAGAGGTGGATTTCATAGCCTTCAAGCAAACTTACGTGGCCTAATAAAAAGGCATGTGTTGGTTGGAGAGTGCAGGAGGCAAGTGCCCCTAGCACTGCTCTTTCCAATTTGAATTGATTTCTTCTACTGACACATTTTTGGTGTATCAAAATATTGATTGATACGCCAAAATTTGACTAAAATTCACGAAATTTCACTAAAACAAAATTGGGTTTTGTATCGTTTTAGACTAATACAAAAACCGGTACAAAACGGTATTAATAACTTTGCTAAAAATTCATAAATTGTTCTTGGTTTATCCCTAAATCTACTCAAGTTTGGATACATCACAACTTCAGTATGAAAAAGTTGTTGGATTTAAAGTTATCATCAAGAACTATGGAAGAAGATTTAAAAATCGATTAAAACTTGAGAGTCCTAATCTTTAAGATGTATGAATTTAGCCTTAAAAGAAGGAAGATGCATGAAGAACCAAGCCAATTTTAGAATTCCAATTCCAAATAGGATTGGATTATTATCTAAAATTTAGATTAGGGCTTAAGGCATGAAAGGGTTGGGGCTCTATTTTAATATGCATAAATAGGGGATTTGACTGCTTGAGGAAAGGAGAAGAAATTCGACAAGAATGGAGGAGCAAAAATTAAGAGTCAGCAAAGAAAGTGTGAGATAGAGAGGACAGAAAGAAAGTGTGAGATAGAGAGGACAGAAAGGCTGAAGCTTGTGTTTGGAATTTTTCAAAACAATAGAGCTTTGAATTTTCACCTTCCTTACAAGTGTGAAAAATTTTCAATTGTTGAGTTTTATTTTTCATATGCATGAACAGTAGTATAGATAGTTCTATGTGAGTCAAGTTTTTTTTTTTTTCTCTCTTTTCCTTTTCTTTTATTTGTTCTATAAATTGAATGTGGTAAACACTTATTGCAAAGAATTTTGTATCTGATATATTATTCTTCTATGGAATTAACCAATATAATTTAATAATGTGTTTGGATATAAGATTTTCTAATTGCTTTGGATTTAATTTTAAGTTTGAAAGAGTTGCCAAACATCATGAGGATATTGAGTTTGATGATAGGAATATTGAATTCAAAAACATTATAACAATCGAAATAATAGTTAGTTGTTTGTTGGAGTTGAAGTCACTATGATGAAATACGTTTTGTTTACCAAGTTTATTATGAATTTATTTATTTTGAAGGTCTAGTAAGATTGATAACAAAATTAAATAAAACTTGCAATTTCATTTAAATAAAAAGCTTTGCATTTTTTTTAACAATAGGATTATGATTTTGTATCTTAGTCTCTAGTACTAAATTAAAGTATGTGTTGGAAACCTCAATTTTAAAATGTGAAATTTGTTATGGAAAGCTTACTAACTTAAAAGGAGACTCTAGGATATAGTTAAAGAAAAATTGGTATAACTTAATTAAAGTATATGTTGAAATTTGTTATAGGAAAATGCATTTTTTTTTGTTAGTTTTTTTTTAATTAATTGAATATGTTATTGTTGTGTTTATTATAAACACCCCAAAATTAAGGTATAAGGCAACCATATTTTATATGGAAGTTATGGGGTGCCTACTCCTTCCCCACGCTTAATCAACCCTCCGATTGCAATCAATCTCCATGCACACTTTGGTGATCTATCTCACCTTATTTGAATAGATGGCGACTCCATCCATTTTGGCATATCAACAATTTGGCGACTCCATTGGAGATGTTAGAAGGGTCAAGCCATTTATACTTTAATTGTGGGGCTTTTCAATTTCTAACTTTTGTTTTGCACTTGGCATGGAGTACCTCATAAGTTTTTCCTCTTTTGTATTTAGTTATTTTATTTAATATATTTGTTATTGTCTTATGTTAATATTATTTGCATGCACCCTAACATACCTCACTTGTGTATCATTGTTCTTAATGAGCTGAACCCCACATCTAGGTAGATGGATAACTCATGGAACAAAGCAAAGCATAATGCTTTTCTTGTGAAATGGAATTATCTCTTTTAGGTTCATTTTGTGGGTTAATACAGCTTGCCTGCAATAAGGTTGTTGTTGTATTAGGTCATACAATGTCTCATGTTAACTTTATGGGAGTTAGTAGTTGAGAAAGCCTGATCATATAGAATTCACTAGGAAACCACATGTAATGGATTTAGACGAAAACTTAACCATAGGATGGCTAGCCTAGTAAACCACCTTTGAGGTTTAAGATCCTTATATATAGGACACATAGGGAGTATTTTATTTTTAATAATGTTTTTGTGTTTCTTAGTTAAGGAACTCAATAAAGAGGTATGACATTTATTAACTCTTCTTTCTACTTTTAATAAATAGGAAATTGATTATTTTACACATGGATTCTTTAGAGAAAAGAGGTAGTAAGGGAAAAGGGATGAATACAAAGCTAGAATGTTAGACATTATCCAAGAAGTACAAGTCATACAAGGATGGATTGTCTATATAGACCAAAAGACCTTGTGTAAATGACTTGATTGTTGTTTGGAACAATCTAAACAATCTTGAAAAAGTGAGGTTTGACAAGAAATTTTGAAGAATAGCTAATGTGTTGCAAGTGGAGCCAAAGTGGGAAATCATTAGGGCGACCTTAAGATTTTATGTCCCGTATCTTCATTGCTATGTTTTTCTTGAGTTTGAGTCAATGCCCACCATTGAAGAATGTTTTCAGTTGTTATTTAGTCACCTAGATATGAGTTTAGAAGTCTACATTTTAGATCCTATTAACTTTTAATTAAGTAAGTTGCAATTTCAATCTATGCTGTAAAAGATTCTAAACTTTCCTTTAGAGTTCACAGAGAGTTGCATTATGAAGAGAAATGATGTCTGAGGGGTTAATTGGAACATGATGTATTCAAAATTAAAGTCTAGTCTAATTTCACTTTATGAGGAGGATTGCTTGAATTTTGTTGCTTTGGGTATTTATGGGGTGGTTATTTTGCCTCCTAGTATGGAGGTTATCAATTTATTTGTTGTAGCCATGTTTGAACAATTAATTGAGAATCCAAATTTTAATATTGCTCTTATTCTAATTGCTGAAGCTTTACATGATGCTGATTATATCAAAGCTCATGGTAAGGGTAAATTCACATGCTTCACTACTTTTGTCACGCCCCAGAACCCAAATCCGAGACGCGACAGACGCCGTGCACTCGTGAGACGGGTCCCATAAGTGCACAAAGCTCGGAACTTATTCAAATCACAATCTGATACCACAAAATCTCAAGATCAAATTCTTACAATCTGCTCTGATATCATAAAATCTCCAAATACACTCTAGCTTACAGGATCATGACTTATTTCTAAATCTATGTCAATCTCGAAATGGCTAGCCTTCTAACTTGTCACTCCCCTTGATTTTCCCGTCCTCGCTTTCACTTCCTGAAATGGTGGACAAGGAAAACTATGAGATAACTCAGTAAGTAAATATGGATAGCCCTTGGGTAAAACTTTTAACATGCCAGATAAACCATGTAAACATAGCAAAACTTTCACTGATAATCCGTTAATGCGGAAATCAAGTTCATTTCAATAGCAAAACGTTCAATGACAAAACTGTTACTGTAGAATCAGATTCAGTTCAATAACAAAACATCTCATAACAAACCGTTAATGCTGAAGAAAACTCAGTTCAGTAGTCTCATCTATAAGTCATGGCCAGTGTTATAACAACCCACTGGCAGGCGACAGAATAAACCGGTCATCAGTAAACATGTCGACATGTGCTAGTGTTACACCCACTAGCGGGGATCAGGAGTGCCAGCGTTACACCCACTAGCGGGGATCGGAAGTGTTACACACCCACTAGCGGGGATCGGAAGTGCTAGCGTTACACCCACTAGCGGGGATCGGAAGTGCTATACACCCACTAGCGGGGATCAGGAATCATGACCATATCAGAGACAAAACCATGCAGGATTCACAATCAAAATCCGTAATTCACAATCGAAATCCCAAATTTCAGAAATAACCAGAAAATTCCATGTGGGTATGGGTTTAACCGGAAAATCATAATTTACAAAAATTCTCAAATCATCAAAGCAGGGTCATCAATAACATATCCACATCGGAGACAAAACAGGCAGGAATTAACAGAAAAATCTTAATTCACCAATCGCTTGCAAATCATCAGGACAATCACTTAAAGTCCAAGTAGGCATGCTCAAATCAATACAAAAAAGATTAATAATCTTATTTCAAATCAGTCATGCTCATTTCTAGGAAAACCAGGAAATTCTCATTAAAAATCATCAAAACTCTCATTTCAGTTTAATCACATTCACATGCTGATAAAATCAATTTAAAATCAATTTGAACCTTGCCACCATCTCAAAAACAATTAAAACAAACTTTAAAATCGAAGGGCTTTACCATAATTTACTTACCTCACTCGCACAGAACAGAGGGCTAACCCAAGTGCTATGGTGACAGAACGATCAAAACCTAATCACAATATTCCGAAGTTAATACCGCACTACCACAAAATCCAAAGTAAAATCATCTTTAACACTACCCCTAATCACGGTGCTATTTCTATCAATCTCCGCATAACTGGACATCTCCAAATTTATCCTTATATCACAAACTAAACCTTTAAATCCCCGTTAATTGTTAACCCTCGGTGTGTGAACAGTGCCTATGAACAGTACCCTGTGAACAGTACCCCGTGAACAGTGATCCGCTGTGATCAGTGACGGTAACTTCAAAAATTTGGGCAAAACACTAGCTAATTTCACGGGATTTTCTCCAAAAATCACACAGCAGTCAATTAACACTCAAAACACATAAATCCCACTTGAATTAATGCTTAAACTTATCCTAAAGCTACCGGAATTATCCCCCATTTTTCCAGCAATTCACAGACGACAGAGGCAGCACATAAATGGCTAAACTTAGGCTTAAAGAGCTGCCACATACCAGAATTTGCAAGCAAAGAAACCGGACTGCAGGTTGGGGGAGTTGCCGGCGGCATGGAAGAAGAAAGCTCACGGCTTTAACCCAAAATTCAAGGAAATAAGAGCAATTAACATAAACCCAAGGCAATCCAAGCTAGAGAAGGGAGATTCATGGCTATTTCTTACCCAAAATCGAAGCAAATCACCCCCACAAGGTAGGAGCAACCGGCGGAAGGACAGAGCAAAGCAGGGCAGATCCGGATTTTCCAGCAGGGGAGGGAGATTTCTGGGTTCAACAGGTGTTTTAAAACAAGAAAATAGGGAGAAATCCCCAAGCTTTGCCGGATTTTCGGCCGGAAAAAAGGGGGGCGGTAATGGGGCTCGTCTCGGGTTGCAGGGGAGAAGAAAAGAAGAAGAGCAGAAACGCGGGTCTGATGAGGGAGGAAAGAAAGAAAGAAA